CGCCGCTCCGCTCCCCTCCCGCCGCCGGGCGCTGCCCTCCGGATTGCGTGCTGCCGTCCTTGGCGAGCGTTTCGGGAGCGTCTCCGTCCAGCGATTCGGAACGCGGGCAGTTCCGAAGGAGACGGGCTCTGCCGCGTTTCTGCTTGCCAAGTGAGGAAACTGAGCCGCGGAGGGTGAAGGTGACTTGTCCAAGGTCACACCGCGCGCCGGCAGGATCGGGATTGGAACCCGCGCCGGGGCTCCAGCCCTGCAGCGCCCTGAGACGCTGGGCGAAGGGCTGAATCGCTAGGACTCCTCCTCACCCGCGCTCCCAGGTACTCAGACACCAGCTGAATTTAACATAAAGTGCGGATTGCCCTCTCCCCCCGTAAGAGCTAAGGTTTAAAGAGGATTTGCTGTAGACGAGGCCTGGAAGAAGCTGTGTGTATTCTCTTAGGTTCTTTTTTCTAGCGCTTACAAGGGAATTTTCATTCTGTTCTACACATGAGGTAGTTGGGACCCAGAAAAAAGTGATGACTTCCAATCCTGCGAGGTGAACCCTACCCAGATGAGATCCTGCACTAAATTCTTCGGAAATCCTCTGCCTTTTTCAGTCTATTATGCTACCTCCAGCTCAGAGGGAGTTTTTAAATCTTACTGAAAAACTCATCAATTTAACTCAAAATTTAAAAATGTGTGAAAATCCACATTAGGAAAAGTGTCTTCACTGTACATATGAAAGAAAATACTAATAAGGAGAACTGGGGGTTCTAACACAAAGAGCAAATGGAAGGAAAAGGTGACACAGAAGAATGGAAGCCCTGGATTTGCCCAGCACTGTGTAAAAAAAAAATAATAATAATAACAGAATTGACCCAGCGCTATTATATATTTTGGGAGGGCAATTTGATTATGGATTTTAAAAATAAAAACCTTTAAAATGTGTTTATCCTTTAATCTAGCAATTCCACTGACTAGAATTTATCCTAAAGAAATGTTTGGACAGTCACACAAAAAGTACGAATAAAAATGTGTATCACGGGCTGGGGATTTAGCTCAGTGGCACAGCGCCTGCCTGGCAAGCATGAGGTCGTGAGTTCGATTCCTGGTACCAGAAAAAAAAAAAAAAAAAAAATGCATCACAGCCTTTTTATAGTAGTAAGATATAACCTAAATATTCATCAATAAGGACTAGTTAAAACATGTTATCCCTTTGTGCATTGGAGTATTACACAGGTACCGATGATGATTAGGTTAATGCTTACTGACATGGAGCATAGCAGGATACTAATAAGTATGTATAACAAAGTTGTATTTTTCTAAAATATACATGTGTACATATCCACAGAAAAAAGTCATGAAGACTGTACAGCAATATATTAAAAGTGGGTTATGAGTAACAGTTTCTAGTTTTCTGTGTGGTCTGAATTTTTTCCAGTGAAAGCTTGTATTGTTATAACTTTAAAAAGATATTTTCTAAATTGTACTTTCATCCTGCTTTTTATATAAATAAATTTGCACTTCTAAACATTTTATAACATTTGCACCAGGCCTCTTAATTGTCAGCAGGAGCATGGCAATTTTTACAACTAAAATTGAACTCCTGACTCGCCTAAATCAGGTGTGATCCCAGGTCCCTGACTGCTAAAGCCACCAAAGGCTCCTTCTCAAACCACTCTTTGAGCAGCTTCTCTAAGCTTGACTGCCTCTGTGCTTCTCTCCTTACCTGTATCTCAGCTTTTGCAAGCCCCATATTCTGCCTTAAATTTTCATTAGTCTGTGGACCATAGCCCAAGCAGAAATATGAAGAGGAGACAACTCTTAAAAAGCAAACAACCCTGGGGCCATACATTGCAATTGCATTTACATCTGCTTCTTCAAATTAGGCAGGAAAAATTCAACACAGATTTCTGAGAAATTTTCAAATTGAAAAGGATTCTACTTCACAAACAAGATGTCCCCAACTTTGATCATACAATCTCAGTAGAAAAAAACGGTCTTAGAGGTTATCTAAGGAAAAACTCCATCACATATTTTAATATTGGTGACTCCAACATACAAGATAGCAAAAGGACGTGAGACTCACTACATAAAAAGCACCCGGAAAGTCTAAAAAGAATGTAGATTTCTGAACACCACTCTGGACAGTCTGGGTGAGGCTCACGTATCTCTTTGTTTGAAGTTCTCTATGTAACTCAGACACAGCACCAAATTTGGAACCTCCTGACCTATCCTTAATCAGCTATTACTTAATAGCAAACAGTCATAAAATCTCAGTGGCAACATGAAAAAATAATCAGTTCTCATAGGTCTTACCATAGGTGGCTGGGGTCTGCCAGATGTAGGTTAGGCGGAGCTGTGTGGCTGTGCTCTAAGCTGCAGATTCAGGGAGGCTTGGCTCTTTGGTACACAGTGAGCTCTGGTCCACTCCACCAGTGTTCATTCTGGGGCCCTGGCTGAGGAGACAGTAGCCACCAGAAGGAATCTAATGGACTCGACAGTGGTGCAAAGGGACAGGCCCAACCTTGCAGACACTTCTCACACTGCTAGCTTGTACATGTCTGCTAACATTACACTTGTTTTGGGGAGTTTTTTGTTTTTGTTTGGTTCGTGTTATAGTCAGGGTTTGCAAAGGAATAGATTTAATATAGGACACATAAATTTATAGGATTACCTTATAATAGTCACCAAAAAAGTCAAATGCAGAAAAGTACAAGAGATCTCTCCATGCATAGAAACCCGAAGAATCCAGTGGAGGGCCTGGATCCCACAGCAGTGTCCATACAAGTCCAGCCAGAGGCCTAGAGCCCACAGTCATGTGTCACCCAAGTGGGTATCAAGGATCTGCACTGGAAAGGACCAAGGGCCAGTGGAGGAAGCTCAAAAGTCTGCACTGGCAGAGTGAAGGATCTGTGCTAGGAGGCTCAGGGATCTGCACTGGAGCCAGAAAGCAACACTAAGACAAAGGCAAAGACCAAAGCTCCACCAAAGAACACCAGCCATTCCTGGTAACAGCAAACACCCGAGCTCCTCCAACAGAAGAGAACAGCTAAATTCATATTAGGAAAACCAACCACATCAAAGCTTCTCCTGGGAAATTAGCAGCATGCACTCTTCCCGTTTCGTTCTCCTCTTATGCTGTCCTGACAACAAACCTCCTTGCCCAAAACCATGCTCAATTCAGCAGGGCGTTCCCACTCAAGTTGACCACCAATTAATCTATCGGAATTGGGATTCGTTTTTTGGTTTCGTTTGGTTTGGTCTTTGAGACAGGGTCTCACTGTGTAATTGATTGGCCATGAACTCACTATATAGCCCAGGCTGGTCATGAACTGAGGGCAATTTTTCTGCCTCAGCCTTTGGAATGCTGGGATTACAGGAGTGCACCTCCACACCCAGATTTTCATCCCACTTGTTAAAGGCAGTCTTAGAGCTGAGCCCAAAGACAGGAGGTTAGGGAAGTCTATTCTTACGGAGGTAAGTTTTGATCAATAATTTATGAGAGATCCTGTATTTGAACAGCATTAGTTGTGCTCTATCAGCAATATTTGCGGTTCCAAGTTTAAAAAAAAAAACAACAAATTAACTTAAAAAGGGATTTCATGGCTCAGGGAAAAAAATAAAAGATACAGTTCTTTCTCCTATGACTTGGTTTTTGTCCTCAATAAAGCTTTACTCATAGAAAACAGTGCATTCCTTTAAGAAACCTTTATGAGAATTTGTCAAATGCTAGACACTACAGCAGCCTCTGGGGACAAGAGATAATCTTGCCTTCACTGTGTGGTGGGGAGACAGTTGAAAATTAACAGTTACACCACAGTGTGATAAATACTAAATATAAAGGGAGTAAGGATGGGGTAGGAGTAAATGGCAAATCCCATTCGATACTTCCATCCCTGCCAAAATCTTGGCTTTTCTGGGCCTCCTGCTGGATGATCTAGCTGCATAATGAAGACCCAATAAATGATAATGAGACACCTTGGGGCTGACTAATTGGCGCTGGTAGGAGCGTCAAAGAGCTTGAGCCAGAAACAGAGGGAAAGGGTGAATTATGGTGGAGCCCTAGCACAGCCTGGCACTGACCTCTAATCCAATTTCAGAAACCAGACCCTACTTCCCGCAAAGAGGGGTCTTTAAAAAACGGGGAAAGTATGCAAAGTAATTTATTCCTTTAACAAATTTGTACTAATGATCTAGTCCCATCCCACAGAATTCACTGGTGAATACAACAGACCTGGTCCCTGTCCTCTGAAAGCTTACAGTCAAATCTTAAATAACAAAACAATTAAAAGTAAATGTGCTGGGGCTGGGGATTTAGCTCAGCGGCAAAAGCGCCTGCCTGGCAAGCGCAAGGTCGTGAGTTCGGTTCCCGGTACCGGAGAAAAACCAAAAAAAAAAAAAAAAAAAAGTAAATGTGCAACACAGTTAACACATACTATGAAAAGGAAGGTAGGAAGTTTCCCT